CGCACTGCCTTTAGTACAGATCTTGCAGCCAAGAGAGCCGCCAACCCGCCTAAGCCCAAAAAGGCCGCCAAGGCCAAGGCTGCGCCCAAGGGCAAGGCTGGAGGCGCCTGATGAATCCAACCTTTAATTTCTGTGTGACAGACATTCAGGTCTGCCATCCTAATCTGCAAGTCAGATCGATGTTGGTGCGTTACTTAGGCGCATATGCCAGCAGAAGTTCAAAAGTGCCACATTGAAATTGTTTAACTCACTTGCAGCGGTGTGTCCGCTTTCTTGCAAGGTACATGTGACATACTGACAGATAAATGTAGATCTATATATAGAGATACAGAAAAATTACTCTTGTTTTCTGCTATACTTCCCGCTATTGAAGCCGTGTGTCCGCTGGAGCGACCCTTGTTTATCCTCGCTAATTGAGTGTTAAGTTAAACATACTTTGTCTTTGCTGCTTTCTCGAGGCCCAGATCTATATATTGTCTGACTTTGGCACATGTTCTTCAGCGGCGTAGAGTCAATCAAAAGCATGTGAATTTATTGCGGCGGAACTCTAGCCAGTCACCTACCTGGGCAGGAAACAGATTTGAAGATGTAAGGTTTCTGACTTTACGCTCGCAATGCCAAAGCGTGTTTTGCCGCAAGATACCCGAAGCAAATTGGCGCGCGGCCTGGCAGTTCCTGGTGCCTCAGAAAGAGCAGTACGTGAGTTGTGGAATGTTTTCCACGATGAAGACGAGCGCATTTCAAGAGGTTGCTTCAAAGATGTGGTAGAGGAAGAGCTTGGACCCTGGAAGCAAGTGACTGAACCTATCAAGTTTGCTACTCATGATGATAACGAGCAGAGAATCCATATGGTCAATCTACGCAAGTGTTTGGAGAAGCTGTGTTCGGACTCTCTGTCGTACAGGGAAGCGTTGGTGAAAGCAGCGCAAGGGACCGGATACCTAACGCCAGTGTTGTACTGTGATGAGTGTACAGCCGGTAATGTTCTATCTGCTGACAAATCTCGAAAAAGTTGCCTGTTCTACCTGGGCTATCTTGAGACCTGGCACCTTCTGAAGCATGAGGCCCTTTGGATACCTCTCGCCTGCGTCCAAAGCCAATGCATCAACACTTTGCAGGGTGGTGTTTCAAGACTCCTTTGTCACAACCAACGCAGAATTCACAGCTGGTTTCTTGGCCCACCCTGACTTGATGATACGTCACCAGCAGAAAGCATTCTTTCTTGGTGACTTGGATGCTGTCAGAGCTGGTTTTTCAGTCAAAGGCAGCGCAGGCTTACGGCCATGCATTTTATGCAAGAATGTTTTGAAATCCAACAGTCAACTTGTGGAACATAATTCGTACTTCGTAGAGATCAGTGCGTGGACCGGCTTCGATAGAAGTACGGATATTGAAATTTTCCAGATGTGTGACCGCCTGGGTCGTTGTCGAACAAAAGCGGAACTTGCTCAGGAAGAGAAGGTGTTAGGAATCTCGTACGACTCACGCTCTCTGCTGTTCCAGCCAGATTCGAGGGTCCACATGCCACCGTCCCACATCCTCTTCGACTTTATGCATTGCTACCTGTGCAATGGAGTCGCATCGTGGGAGGTAGGGTTGCTCATGGAGAAAATTTGCACTGGCACGGATATCACCAGAGAAGTGTTGGGGATCGCCGCTAAGGAGGCTGGATGGCGTGGCACTGCAGCATCCGGCAAAAAGCTACCTGCCAGCTTTGTGGCACGAGCGCCGCTTGTTTGGGACAGTCTGTACAAGGGTCAAGCGCATCAAACAGCTGCCATTGTACCTTTGTTGCGATACTATCTGGAGGAAGTATTTCAGCCAAGCACTCAACTTCCAACAGAGGTGGTCTCGTCATTCAGCCGTCTTGCCAACTGTGTTGCCTTTATTCGTTATCTGAGCAACCGTATGGAAAAGATTTCCGAACGGGAAGCAAAGCACTTGGATGAGCTACAGCGCCAGCATCAACAGGCATTCGTCCAAGCATACCCAGACAGCATCAAGCCCAAGCATCACATAAGATTTCACTTACCGGAGCAATATCTCAAAACAGGTATCTTTTTGAGTTGTGAGTGCTTGGAGAGCAAGCACAAGCAATACAAATCGGGTGTTGCGCAGAATCAGAGGAGCACCTGCAAAGACTTTGCTCAGTTTAGTTCTTCTGTTCTTCAGCGGCTCCTTCAAAAGAATTTCAAGCTCTTGCAAGACAAGGGACTACCGTTTTGGCAACTGATGCCACCCATCCACGAGGCTAGTCTGGACGACAAACTGGCCTTTGTAACCTTGAACTTGACAACCAGTGAAAGCTCCTCGACTAGTTGGTCGTACATTTTCCTTCTAACTTTAGTTGCACTTTGCGTTGATCTCCTTTAGGTTAGACAATAAAAAGCGGTGTACCCGCTCCTATACGCATGTATACCATATATCTTGCAGCGGTGTCCCCGCTTATCATTCGTTTCGGTGGTACTCCAGGCTGCTACTTGACCAGCGGCGTGGTCTCAAAGACCGACATTGTCCTTTGGCAATACACGGCTGGTGTTGTGCAATCGTGGTTCTATGATCCCGCAACTGGTTTCTACCTGCGCTGCTTGAAACTCGACTTCGCGCCTTGCTGCCTTTGATTCTGCGGTTTATTGAAAGTACATATCTCACAATTTCCATGTCACTATATCTATATGATGTATGTATGTGTATATTTATATATATATATATCATCTGTATAAAATGGGCTTGCTCACCGAAACTCACCCTCCTCCCGACAAGGTACGAGATACCACCTGGGGAACCGTTTGGAAATTGACTGACGACAATGAGGAGATTGTACTGGAAGTGAAACCTCAAGCACCTCCAGCAGTCCCATCGTGGTGGAAGTATTCCGAAGACCAAAGACATGTCGTGTGTTTGCGGTGACCAAAAGGAACCGGAGAGCGAAGATGTGATCCTTTGTTTTTTGTCATTGTTCTGCTCACAAAACAAGCGGAGTTCCCGCTTCCCAAACATAAAGCGGTGTGTCCGCTGAAAATGACCGCAGAACTATATGGTCGTCCTGATCTCGCAAGATTTTGCGCATCAACAGGATTCAACTTGGTTGCTGTGCTCACGCACCATGGAAGCGCTGCTCCTTTTTGCTGGGCAAATTGCTGCCCATGTTGCTACTTTGACTGATGAGTCCAGATTGGATGAGCTGGAGATGTCACGAGAAGGTTGCAGGAACTTATGCATCCATGTTGGGCTTGGACCCCACACAGCTTGCATTGGACTCCTGTGGTGCTCGCAGCTGCGCAGTGTCAGCTCAATGGTCTCGCTGGCCATGACATTACGGTGGAGTCGATGGGAGTGAAAAGCCAGGTGATGGGCTTCGAAGTTCTGAAAAAGTTGAACTACTACCAGCGGTTCTATTTGCACAAAGAGCTGAAGATGTTGGAATCCTGGCTTCCCACCTGGAGCCACATGGCGCCCCAACTCATCCCAGAAGTGGAGAGTGTTTTGACGGAAGTGTTTGAAGCATTGGCGATGGATTGAGTCCCAACCAGAGGCGTATCAGATGGTATCAGCAAAACAGATGGTATCACTTCAGCGCAAGCTTTTGGTTCATATGAGAATGAAACACATTCTAGTGGATTCAGCGGTGTGTCCGCTATGCAGCGGTGTGTCCGCTATAGTTTTTTTTTCTAAATGTTTAGTTTTTTACTTAAAAAAGTTATAAAATCATACTGTTACGTGTAGTTCTCATAAAAACTTGAAAAAACAAACATTTCAAACCAGTTCTACTGATTTCTACTTAGTGCTACTTATTTCTACTTATAAGTTACTTGTAACCTACTTAAGAATCAGTCATTTTAGTATTGTATTTTAATTAAACATAAGTAGGTTCTAAGTAGGTTAAGTAGCGCTAAGTTACTTGATGTAGATTAAGTAGGAACCGGCCTTTAGGTACCTGGACTATGTCACAGTCGACCACCTCAGACCTTGTCTCTACT